GAAGAATATTTAGTTTTCAAGGCTCATTTGCTCGAGATTAATGGCACGTGCATAATCTACAAGATTATTTAATGTAAATATTATTTGTTCAAAAAAAATAAAAAAAAATAAAATAAAATAAAATTTTTGATTTAACGCTCCATTCGCATTAGCCTGCAACAATAAGATCTTTCTTTGAACGTATTATTATGGTTATTATTATTATTATTATTATTATTATGCAAACAGATAAAAAATTAATTACAAAAATTTGTTAAGATGCCCTTTCGACATTAAGTTACTTATGGTTCCGCCTAAGCTCGTAATTTTGCGCTAAAATAACTCTATTCGAAAAAATAATAAAGTAATTGTAACATATAATTGAACTATAAAATCCTTAGCCGCTTTATATTTTGGAGTTTGGAGTGAAAATATGGTTTCGAGTAAAAAAAAAAATATTTAAAGTGAAAAGTGAAAAGGTAGTGAATAGTAACTAGGCATATGGCAAACTTGTAGAGTTGAAAAGTCATGTTTTCGCGTGATAGTTCCCTCTTAAACAGAAGCATTTTTAATAGAAAGTTGAACAAAAAAATTTGGTAAATATGAAAATTTCATTAAATACAAAAATCAAGATTAAAAATAATTTCTTTCTAAGGGTGTCATCTATATTGAATTAATAAGATAGAAGTTTATTTATTTATTAATTTTTGTTAAAGAATAAATCGCTATTTACATATAATTTAAATATAATAAATTGTTTTAGTATTTCATATAAATAAAAGACTATTTATATTACAAAACAAAGTCTACATTAAGTATAAATGCAAAGATAATGAAAATAAAGTTCTCGATAAAGTTCGATGAACTTGCGATTAAATTGTGATAGTTGTCAACATTTGAGTTATGAATCGATCGAAAAAAAAAATCCTAGATTCTATACTTTTCCTTAAAACAAAACAAAAAAATAAAAAAATAGCAATAAAAGGATGAATACACTACCATACAATACCATTAATCCATTACAATTGTATGAATTTTTTAAATATCATTCAATAATAACTCGTGAGTGTAGCTCATATAAGTAATCAAATGTAGTAAGAATTTAAAATACCAATGTTTTATTATTTATTTAAATCTCCATAATGTTGCACGTCATGATAATCGCTTATGTAAGATCTAGACAAAAACTATTGATAAACCATTAATGACTTGCTGATGTACAATAGGGAACCCAACAATTTTTAGTCATTCAACGTAACCACACGTATTTGATCAAGAAACTGAGAATACGATTGACGCTCGTGGACGTAATAATATTCATTTATTTTGTTGTAAAGAAATATTCTGCCTTTCCATGTGATTCATATCTAATACATATTTCTTATACTCTTTTTATAATATTTTAAAGTAAAAAATTTTCGGATGGTGATAATATTCGGTTCGGCATTTTATTAATTTAATGACATATGACTTTGCACGGTGTAGGAAAAAAAAATTGTGTGCTATAAAACGTGTATTAATCCATGATTTCAGTAGCCTGGTGTCAAGTACGACATGATAACACTCAATGTTTAAGTGAATAAATGAAGGTCAGAACATGAGGTTGGCTATTGGATTTCGGTCCCCGGCTTGCTCCCAATCACTTTTGATTTTCCACGCACAATGAGCTTATCGTTCTATTCATCGGTACGTATATTCATTCCACAGATTTATCGTCACACACTAATGGACGAATAGCAATTCGGCATTCGGCCATAGTAAGGCGGCCGAATAATGTCGCCGATAACAACGGGAGCTTGGAACCTCCTTACCGACGACGTGTTGGCCTTTTACATAAGCCGTCTTTTCTGGGAGTAAGAAAAAGGAGTGGGAGATAGGGAGGGAGATAGGGAGGGACGGAGGGCGGGAGGGAGGGAGAAAGAGAAAGAGAGAGAGAGAGAGAGTGAGAGAGAGAGAGTGAGAGAGAGGGGGAGAGAGAGATGAAGGTCAAATTTCGCAATGGAATGCGACCCATATAAAATTCCCGGTCTCGCGCGTTTGACTAACCGAGGATTTGAACTTTATCGTTGCCGAATGGTTCAAGGGCTGCGCTAAAAGTCAGCAGCACCTGGAAAAACGGGGCCTTACTCACGCAGCACTTACTCTCGTTACCCCCGCTAATGGGCATTTCGAGCCCAGGTATCTGATTTCCCATTATAGGCTTTTCTTTTTAATCGTTCGACTATCAAACGGTTCCGCCGTCCGCTGTTCATGACGATGGGCGGGACAAACGGAGATTCCAAGCCGATGGTAAATTGGAAACTGTGTACTGAGAAATTGTATTGTATTTTAGCTCCCCCTTCCCAGCTTCCTGTATCGATGTTGTTTTTTTACCAGTTTTAGGAATCGGCAAAAGCCTATCCTCGATCTGCCCTTACCGAGCTAATAAGCGTGATTTAAGAAGAAAAAACATCAAAAGAAAAGAAGAAGAAAAATGAGAAATAAAAGTACGGGAATTTTTTTACCGAAGGTCTTGGAAAATCACAGAAAGGTTATTATCTCTTCAAGGCGAACGTCCCCCCCCCCTCCCACCGTCACAATCCATGCACCTAACATGGTCCATACTTCATCACAAGTGGATGTTCGATAACGTATTCCATTGTAATGGTTACCATAAAAAATTTTGCAAATTATTATGCAACGAGCCAACAACGTGAAAAACCGTAGACTTTACCTCCAATCTGAAAAACCATTGCGGATTAGCGCCCGTATTAAAAAAAAGTTTAAATTTCAATTCGAAACATAAATAAATCGAAGTAATTATCTAATCTAATCTTTGGTTGAAAGTCCCTGCCCAACTAACTTACGCTCTAATGCACCACACATACATCACAAACGAAGTCTATAAAATACGGCCAAGCTTATTTATGTCCATTTTCAACAAAAAATCCAAATCAGCCTAGAAATTCCCATATTCAGTGTAGCGATGGAAGCCCCAAGGAAAACTACAATTCCTCTTACTGGACCGAGGGGAACTGCCCCGAGGTCGGCATTACGGAAAAACTCCTCACTCGTAAGCGAGATTTCGATCTCGTCACAGATCTACGAGGCCCGGAGATCTCGTCGCCGTGGCCAACGTGTCGCGCTCGAACGGCCGCGATCCCGTAGATCCTCCGTTTCTCATTGCCCCGTAAAGGGTCCGCAGCAGCAGCGCCGGCGGCGGCAGCGGCCAGACGTGACAAAAAAATAAGAATGTACTGGAGAAGCTACGGATTTGTGAAAGTGAGGGCGTCTAGCCGGGGGTGCGGAGCGGAAAATCCCCACCGAGTTCCTTTAGCGTACTTCCCCTGTGGCGCGGGCGTCCGAGCCGAGAATAAAGGCCGCGATAGACCTGGTGCGGTTTGGTTTGGCTTCCCGCCCCCTCCCTTTTTTGTTGTTTTATTTTTTTGTTTTTTTTTTTTCCAAGTCCGAGCGCAGTGGCGGAACTCCCGGGAGCGAACTGCACTAGTTCCGGCTGCGCCGCGTATTCAAATTCAGCTGGGAAGCTCGATTCTCCTCCCCTCCCCTCCGCCCGCCTTTTTATCATCCGAGACTCGCACTTACACGCCCCTCTGCCGAACATACTACATTGTCGGCAATTTTCACGGGATACCAGACTGCCTATCCCCCTCACTTAAATTGCAACCTGCTGAGCTAACGAATGTGGAATTACGGCAGCGTCGCTCTTCTTATTTTTTCATTTTGCCCCGTAGGAAGGAAGGCTCTTAGCAGCAACTGGTCTCTCTCTCCATGTCTCTCTCTCTCTCTCTCTCTCTCACACACACACACACACAAACTCCGAGCCACGACTAATAGATGCGTTTGGATTTTCGTATAGACGCCGCGTTGGCGCTCGAACGGCGCCGACGTTTTGCCATTGGGGGCGTCGCCCCTTGCCGATTTTAACGCACCAGTGACTGTCGCGCTCCGCGGGACTTTGCTCGCGAAATTATACGAGCTTTTTCTGCTTCTCTTTCATTATTTGTTGCATCGTATAGTTATAGGGCCAATTGGATATTACGAAGATACTACCGGCTTACGAGTAATGCACTTTGCTAATCGTTAGTCGTCTAGCATTATCATACTCTCTCGTTTGGCGCGATCTTATCTCTTAGTACATGACTGAGAGTTCTTTTAAACGAGCAACCGATTATGTTATTTGTTTGAATAATGTACGAGCTCGGTACGAGCTACGTACGTACAATCATCATAAATGGAGATTTTGGTCCATCGTAGATTGTGGTATTCGATATCCCAACCCCTATAAAGCGTGTTCGCGGCAAGTCTTTAAAATGGAATTTCGAGCATCACGAAAATTAGAAATTCGAAATATGTCGACAAAAGATTTTTGAAAGATCAAGTCGATTGGTGCTTTAACGCGCACGCGTACGGGCGGTGTACTCAGGATACTCCTCCAACATGCACACCGCTCGATCTACGCAATATGCGCGCAGTGCGCGATGCAACGGGCCAGAACTCGGCGTGAGACCAAGTTGGCTGAAAAAGTCGCACGAGTTGCAGCGGTTCTCATCGGTTCTACGCGCGCTCGCGAGGACCTTTAGCCGTCGACTGATAAGGCGTGCGCAAAGATGGGTGACGTGGGTGAACCCTATACAGTTATTTAAGCCAAGGCCATTGCTCTTGTACAGTCGCAAGACTAGTCGATAAGCTTCCGGGGCTTCACCGATCTCACGTAGGGCAAAATCTATTAATTTATTAATCATAGTTGCAATTTGTCCGACGATTATTCGATAATTCGACTAAGAAGGGAGTCGAAAGGTCGTCAAACGCCTACGTAATTACTCGTATTTTTTTCTCCCTTCGGCTAACTCGCATTTGAAACGTGCGCTAAATGATAATGCCCATACAAATGGACGAATGCCCATGATGAAGCCCAAACGCTATTGCTACCACTGTAGACTTTTGTCACAGTTAGAGAAATTCATTAAAGCAAAAAGTCCAAAGTGGTCTATTTATAATAATCGACTATACGCACTACTCACCCGTTCATCAGAGTCGCCGACTATTCCTTTGATCAAATTTCATAGACATTCAACAGGTCTGCCTCTGTAACAGAAATAAAAAAGCATCCATCAGCACGAGAGATAGGAGGGACGAAAAGGGACGTGGAGGGAGGAAAAAGTCGCGCATTAGCTAATTCATCCACTTTCACGTTGTCTTCCGTACCGTTTCGCAATATGCACAAGAGAAGTCGCACTCGCCACCGACCGACGATAAAATATAAATGAACAGAGAGAGAGAGAGAGAGAGAGAGAGAGAAATAGACGAATGAATTATTTTCGAGCTTACTCGCTACGAATAAGTATGTACACGTGGCACGTCGACGACGAGGGCGACGTGTCTATATAATTATGGCTACGGAAGGGGGAAAGGGCAGCGAAAATAATTATTCCAACCACGACGGCAAACTAGGCGCAATCTGGATGGCGCGCGAATAATTTCCCGTGCGACGCAATCGAGTTTGCCGTTCACGTCCCCCGAGGTCTCTCAAGGGGTTAAGAAGACGCGCCCGGCTAATCCGATCCGTCGCCATTGACTTTCACATCCTTTATTTCGCTCTCGGCACTCCACGAACAACCCGAGTATCCAGCGGTCGTCGACTTTTTGTCCCGCGCATGATTTTTCGCCGCCCCAACGCCCCCGTTAAATCTAGCTTGAGAGCTTTCCCTGCTCAATGGCATCCGAGAGCGCGACAATTTTTCTCGCCCGGTGCTCCAACCGGCAGTTATAATTTCATCGAGATTACGCGTCACCTCGGCGTCTTCCTCAGGATAAAAGACCTGGCGCTAAGTTATTTTAAGGATGGCGCGGCGCTATTATTAAGAGCCCCCGAGCTCCGTCAAATTAATGCGACAATTTAAATCAACTCCAACAACATTTATAAGTCATCAACTTAAAAGAATCATCGTTTAAAATACAAAGTATGCTTAAACAATAAAACGAATCAATCATCAAAGAGTATGATGATGACGTTCCGGAACTGACTATACGAATAAAATATCGTTTTATGGCTTACAATTACTACAATGTAAATTACAGTAATAAGTAATCAAACCGTAAAAAGTAACTGTTCTCTTATGGCTCGCAGGCTACAATCGAAGCCAGCGATTTTTAACAAAATGTCTGGAAAAAGAAAAGATAAATAAGAAAATAAATAGAAAAAGCAAAGATATTTCGTAGCGGAATGTTGGTATGCATTATGAATTACTTATAGAATAATTACTACTACCTCGAAAAACTTGACTACCTTTGCTCCCTGTTAAAAGCTTTCGTTCTCAACCGCAGGTGGGCTTGCAATCTCCACAATTGCTGCCGAAGGCAAAGTCAAAAAATCGAGAAACATCAGCTGAATAATCGACTAAGGTATTTATTAACCTGGCGGCGTCGTAACTAAAATGTAACAAAAAAAAAAAAAAAAAAAAAAAAAAAAAAAAAAAAGAGAGAGAGAGAGAGAGTGAAAAGGCTCGCACTCGTTCGCCTTGTCAACGACTCCACCAGCAGCACACACGACGACCGAACGATAAATTTCACTCTCGTTGCTCGTTGGGGCTTATCTAGCCACCCTCACGCCTACCAACTACCGTTCACCCCCTCCTCGTCGTGGGGTGTGTGAAGCGGCGGAGTAGACGGACGGCACACGCGGAAGCGACACTCGGCGAGGAAGTGAGGCCCCGGCCGGGGAAAGAGGAACGTGGACGTCGCGGTCGCCGCCGCCCGAATCGACGGCGGCGCTCTAACGAGCAGCTGGCAGAGTCCGAGGGTAAATATAGGAGAGGTGGTGGGGAGGGAGAAGAGGGTCACTTATTTCGGAGGGAGAAAGAGAGAGAGAGAGAGAGAGAGAGAGAGAAACGGGAGCGCTTGCGCATAGCCAACGGCGTAATCCTCGTGGCACTTGGATTTGTGCATATTTTTGGAGGGCCGTGGCACCGAGGAGAGGAGTACAGCGTCTTTTCCCGGGGTATCCTCGTCTTCTCTTTCTCGCTTCGTCGTCTCACGAGCGCGCGTTCGAGTTTTATCGTGATCGATTTCATGCTTACCGAGCTCATCCAAGGACCCTTCTGCTTCATCTTTTTTACGTCTTAGCATAGTGTGTTTTAGGAGGAGGAGAAGGTGGAAGAGAGAGCGGGTGAGGAGATGGTAGAGGAGGAGAGAGGGGTCTACACAGGGTGGGACAGATTTTTCGAGTATTTGTTGGCTTTAGAGTGGCTTTATATTATATGGGTGAAGGGGGGAGGGAAGAGGAGATAGCGTACACTTATTATTACACCAAATTTTACTACCATAAGAATAATTGATTTGATGGATTTTATGATGTAGATGGACCTTTACAACAAGAGCTCCAGCCGCCTGTGATAATAAGATGCTTAGAATTTTCCTGATAATTTGTTCAAAATTTATCGCGATCGATGCCTTTCAAGATTGTTCTTCGAAATAGAAAATTTCTTCATTCTCCGGTTTTTCGTTTAATGCCGTCTACGGTCGGTCTTTCCTCTTTTCCGAAACATACCTGGGAACGTGAAGTAATTACACTCTCGGGTCCCTTCCATTATCGGTGACACATTTTCACGCAGACGTTTACACGATTAATGCGCGAGTCGAACTTTTATATAACTTGCTGCAACACAATAAATAATTAACGATCGATGGTAATAAATAGATCATTCAATAATGCGACGACCAGAATATCACCCGGCAACCGAAAGAGCAAAATAATGTTCTCGCACATGAAAAGCGAGAGTTCGCGGAACTACAACGACTCAATTTTCCCTCGAACCATCATCTCGGTTCCCTCCAAAGACATCCAACAGAAACGTCTCACTGGCGATAACCGCGCAGACGCGTGCGCATCTCGGCATAAAGGAGCGTAAGAGAATTACCCCAACGGGTCGCGATTAAGCGTTTAGAAAATCCCGCGTCAAACTGCGGTGTCTACAACAAAAATGCCAACATTGACGACGACGACGACGACGACGACGACGATTTTCTGCGTATCCACTGTACGAACAAAACACGTCATACACGTTCTCTACGAGACGTGCGTACAATGCCGCGCACCCAGTCGACGTATTTATACTCCATGCGCGGATTGCGCTCTCATTGGCGTGATACTCGCTCGCCAGTTTGATAGAAAAAAGACGGATGCACGAGAGTACATGTGTGTGTGTGTGTGAGAGAGAGAGAGAGAGAGAGAGAGAGAGAAAGAGAGAGAAGCTCTGCAAAGGAAGTAAGGAATAAAAAGAAGACACGTAACAAGGCGGCGAGCAGGAAGGAAGCATTGGGGAGGGGGTTCGGGCCACGCGTCTCCGATACATCTGCCCTGCGCGAAAAAGGGCCCACTGTACCGCTCCGGCCTCCCATTATACCTCTTATAAGTTTACCTTGGTGGCGCGCGCTGCTCTCTCCCCCTCCTCCTACCCGCCGTCGTCCTTCCAGCCCGCGGGGCCACGACTCCGTCTCCTTTTCTTTCGGGGCACTCTTCTTGCGAGAAGGCGAGCACACGAGTTTTGCTCGCCCGTTGTATATACACATTTTTTGGCGCTTGCCCATTGCGCGGATGTATAAGCAGCTGTCCCCCGACGGCTTTATGTCGTCCCCAAGAGTTGTGGGGACCTCTGCACCTGCCCCTCCTGGCGCACACGTCCCGCAGCACCAACATACGTACGCGCGCGACTGCTCTCGGGAAACTTTTGTAATTAAAGACGCACGCACCGTTCCTCTTTTCTTATCCCACTGCTCCCCCTCACCGCCCCAACCCGTAAAAATCCCGCTCGTCCGTTCACTCTCACTCTCACTCTCTCCCTCTCTCTCACGCTCCAACCAATCGCTACCACCCTCTCGAACTCGCTTTCCCGTTTATTGTTGCTCGGCGTTTACGCGCGTCGTTATATGGGACTTAACGTTTGGCAATTATTAGTTTAATGTTGAGAGAACGCCAACGTCTTATTAATATTATTGAAATTTGTAGCATCAGAGGAGAACAGTTTTTACGATTCCGCTGTACAGAGAACTGATGACTGACTCGTGTATGTCTCGCGCAAGGCGACAACTTACTTATTTAGCCGATGATTATCGATCGTAATAAAACGAATAGAGTAAACATTTTAATCGCAGCTATATTGCCAATCTAAAGCAATCGATCGTTTTTCTCGAGCGTATAATTATTATAAAATGCGTTTCGTTATTTGATCCGAAATAACGAAGAGGATTGTACGCTTAGGATCGCCAGAGGAGGACGTGCAGCACAATAGGCACTTTGATAAGTATAAGAATGCCTTAGATCCACCTCCCCCCACCAAAATTAATTATCAGAATGCTCGTGATGAACAATTGGGGGAGAGAGAGATAGACAGATAGAGAGAGAGAGAGAGAGAGAGAGAGAGAAAGAGAGAGAGAGAGAGAGATAGAGATAGAACCGTTCGAATTACTAAATGAAAAGTGACTGGCTAGGCATTGGGAACAATGTTAGAATATTCTTTTTATAACTGTTCTCTCTCTCTCTCTCTCTCTCTCTCTCTCTCTCTCGTGTCGCTACACATGGGCATATCGAGGACCGCGTGCGTACGCAAGTTAAAACTCGCACGGTTAGATAAAGGAGATGAGGCGCTTGCATTCGCTGGGATTAATGGTGGATTTTATCTCGAGGGGGGGAGCTCTTGCAAGAGACTTCGACACAACGGGAGCAAAGGTCGTTGTTATATAGCAGAGGAAGCAGAGCGGAAGCGAAGCGCAAAAAGAAAGAAAGACGCGTTCGATCCAGTTCTCGATGCACGCGCACCACACAGCCCTAAAGAAAAAATAGACAGCCAGGGGTTGGGGGGGGGGGGGGGGGGGGGGGGTATGGGATGGATTGGGTACGGGACCAAGGGCCAAGGGGAAGAGATGAAGAAATAAAAGAAAAGAGGGCTGATCCAACTTGTTCAATCGCACTTCCAAGCCCGTTATGTGTCAGGAGATTTCTTTTTCTGAATAATAGATAGAAAGCTCGTGATGCAACTTGTCTCTACATCCACCTTTTTACTTTTATTTTTACGTTTTATTATTAGCCG